TTGGACACTCAAACACGCTGCATGCGCTCTCAATATAACAATATTGAGTAGGTATATTCTGTGGTATAAATAATTAAACAATGCATTCGATGATTTTATGAAGAACACAAATAGTTCAAAATCAAATAACAAATGCCTCGGCAACACTTTTCATTCGTTAAACTGTAAAAATATTTTTTTCTTCAATAATATAATAATAATTGTCTGGAATGTTATTTAAGTAATCGCCATTTTGTTATCAAGAAAAGGACAACAATATAGCTCAGTCGTGCGGACTCGGAAGCGGACTCGCCGTTTCGCTCGCGCTGCGTTGAAGCGTACAGTTCTGTCTGGCTCGCTCGATTGAATGTTTATATACAGACGTGTGCGTGTGTGAGAGTTGCTTATGTAGTTGAGTCGGATCATATTTTATTTGATGCTAGTATGAGCGTACCGTATCTTCCCTTGACCACGGCTATTGGTTGCGTGCGATACGGCCCGCCCTGCCCCGACTCCGACACAGTGTGCTATAGCAAGCGGCTTGAATTGCATACGTTTGCACGGACTTCTGGCGTTCATAACGCGATGTAGAATGTATATAGTGCCATCATTTGGCCCAAACTCACTAAATACTTTGGTATATTGTCGACCTCCGTGGCCGAGTGGTTTGTACGCCGGGTTTCATGGTGTCGCCGACTCGAGAGGTCCCGGGTTCGAATCCTGGTGGGGGCAGATGTTTGGCACTTATGTATGTCTTTGTATTCTATTCGTTACCCTAGTGTCCCATAACATAAGCCTTACAGTGCTTACTTTGGGGCTAGGCTAATTGGTGTGAGTGTTGGAAATATTTATTTATTTATTTATATTAAGTTTTTATGCGTTTCAACACTGTCTGTATGTAATTATGCAGTCGGCACATGTCAAAGCACACTTATGTTAATAAGATGAGTGCCTAGTTTGTGTTGTGATGAATCAAGAGCTATGCCCGAGTTATTGGTGGTCAGTCATGTAATTGAGGTCAATTGTGCTTCGGCCGATGGTTAATCTACATGGCAATGGATTAATAAGTGCTTTACCTACATCGATGGGCGAAAAAAAAAATTGGTTATTTTTTTTAATACGCATATTGAAAAGGAATTAAAGATTCAAGAATATAAATAAAATACACTATGGAGCATGGTTCTGCAACACATATACTAATTGCATCTAAGACTACATTTACCACAGAAGGACTAAAAGTAATCAGCATATGGAAACTGTATACATTTAACTTAAATTTACAATTAATTCACTTCTTTGCCTATTAAACGTAAACTTGCAAACCAGTGAACCAAATGTTCACCAATTTAAAAAAAAAAATGTATTTAATTAATTGAGACTTCGGAGATTTTGTGTGGCTTCGCTTGAAATTCGTGATTTCTCGAAAACCGGAAGTGCTACGTTACTCAAATCCGGTTTGTAGTCTTATCGGACTATTCTTGACTTATAACTTAAACATTCTCTTTATCTATCTCTTACGGTTTGGCCGCTGAAACAGCACCACAGACAGACGGACTTGTCTAATAGATAAGAGATATATAAATACATAAATACAACTTCTTCTGATTTATTGAAGTGATAACTTCTTATGGGAGGGTAAACAGCTTCGTAACGTAAAGCGTTACGGCGCCAGTCTGTCTGTCTGGTTTCCCTTCCCCGCGGAAAGGAGACGGATGCAACAGCCCACCAAGCTACCAAAGGGGTAACCCTAGACCTACCCCACTCTCTCACCCATCAATCCCCACATCATCATCATCGACCCATGCTCGTCCACTGCTGGACATAGGTCTCCCCTAATGCACGCCACTGCTCCCGATTTTCTGCCACTCTCATCCAGCCCACTCCAGCCAGCCTACGAATGTCATCATCCCATCTTGTCTCAGGGCGTCCCACACTACGTTTACCAAGTCGCGGTCTCCACTCCAGAACTTTACGGCTCCATCGGCCGTCAGTTCTGCGGCTAATGTGACCAGCCCACTGCCACTTCAGTTTGCTAATTCGGTGGGCTATGTCGGTGACTCTGGTTCTCTGTCGGATTACATCATTTCCGATGCGATCCTTCAGGGATACTCCGAGCATAGCCCTTTCCATAGCTCTCTGAGCGACTTTAAACTGGTGGACCAGTCCAGCCGTGAGTGTCCACGTCTCGCCGCCGTATGTCATAACTGGGAGGACGCACTGGTCGAAGACTTTCGACTTGAGACATTGAGGGATGGATGACGATCAATACCAATCCCCACTATCACCCACTAATCCTCATTATCACCCTCCAATCCCCCTTTTTAACCTCCAATCCCCTTTTCACCCTCCATTCACCTTTTCACCCTCCAATCCCCTTTTCATCTACCAATCTCCTGTGCTCAAAAAAGTTTGCCGTGGGTCCCGAGACGCACACGCTTATTCTATCTTTTAAAGTTTTTTAGTATTTTGTTTAAGAGTTTCTAGTCCTATTTTTTAAACGTAGTAACAGCAACGTAGCTCGCACAAATTACAATTGCATTAAAATTTCTCGTTCTAACTCTGGGCAAGCCGATACAAATCGTTTGCCTACATTTGTACGACTTTTTGGCAATGAGAAAAACCTACATGGGTACGACAATGTGATCTAGTCTAGTAGGAACTCTTTATACAGGGCGTCCCACGGCTACCTCACACTGAGGGAAAGTATATTAAATATTGAAGATAAGATATTTTACTGAAAGAAGACAACATTTTATTTTTAATAATAACTAGAACTGCATTCACAGATTTTTTTAAAATCGCCTGTTACAACTGGGAATCAAACTCGTGAAATTTCGAAAAAAAAACACGACATATTTTGTGATAACCATCGAAAGGGTTAATCATAAGGATTATGTTTTGCTTAATAACATAGCATTTTAAATGAATGTGAATTACGTGATAAAAATAATAAAGTGATATACAAACTGTAGTACGTATGCATTTGTTTTTGAACTCACAGTTACAATGCGACTGGCAGAAATTTGTAAAAATAATAATTCGAAAATGGAACACATATTTTTTTTATCAAAAAAAGTTATTATTAAAAATAAAATGATGTCTTCTTTCAGTAAAATATCCTATCTTCAATATTTAATATACTTTCCCTCCGTGTGACGTAGCCGTGGAACGCCCTGTATATTCTATCTATCAGTGGTATACAGTCATATCTGATGCCTCCTCTACAAAAAAGTTCACAGACGCGTGTCTCATCTCAAGCGGATGAAACTCACTCGCAGTGGTCCCAAGCAGTCCGAGATATCGTGTTAGTGATCGGTGTCTATGTGTGCGTTGCTCGAGCGTACTTTGTACGTATATTACCTATAAGTACTAACTAATTTGTGGTTATGGCTATTAACGGGATTGTTACCATGTACCTTTTTTTTTATGAGTCTCCGATATTTCGGTACTGTTGCAAACGCCATGATCACGGAGTAACTGATAACATGGCGCTTGCAACAGTGCCGAAATATCGGAGACTCATAAAAAACAAGGTACATGGTAACAATCCCGTTAATAGCTATAATGTTAGTGACCATGAAAGTTTAAAACAATAATTCGTGGTTATTGTAAATCTATTTTTTTTAAATTTTTTATAATTGTCAATACATTGACAAAATATCCTATCTTCAATATTTAATACACTCTCCCTCCGTGTGAAAAACCCGTGGAACGCCATGTATATAACAAGCTAAAAAAGAAACTGTACTGTACTGTATGTACTAACTAGCGGCCCGCCCTCGCTTCGCTTCGGTGTAGAGCAGAAGTATAGACTACAGTTTTTGTTCTCAGGCTTGTATTATACACAATGACATTCATCTATGATTCTTCTTATACCTGCATACAAAGTTTCAGCCCGATCGGTTTAAAATTGACAGTTTCATACAAACTTTCATTCCCTATTTTATCCCCTTGGGGGTAGAATTGATCAAAATCCTTTGTTAGCGGATGTCTACGTCATAACATCTACCTGCATGCTAAATTTCAGTCCGATCCGTCCAGTGGTTTGGGCTGTGCGTTGATAGATCACTATGTCAGTCAGTCACCTTTGAGTTTTATATATACACTAGCTGACTCGGCGAACTTCGTACCGCCCAAAAGTAATAATTTTCAATAAATTAAAATTTCGACTATAATTTGAGATTTAAACTATCCTATCTCTCAAGTTGGATCGAACTGCACATGGTGTGCGAATTTTATTATAATCGGTTAAGTGGTTTAGGAGTCCATTGAGGACAAACATTGTGACACGAGATTTATATATATTAAGATAGATTCTTTACGTAATACCTACGACTCATATCTAAAGTACATAGTATTATATCATAATATAACTTACCTGTTCCTGTATCAATATGACCGCCTGCCCAGGTTTTCTCGGGCATTCTGGAGTCTCCATTGGTGAGAACCAAATGATTGTGGACTGACCATGTCATATCTATATGTTTATTAATTACCTCTTCACACCTAAACCGCTGAACCAATTTCGAGTAAATTTGATATAGAGACAGGTAGAATCCCGGAAAGGGATATAGGATAGTTTTTGTCCCAGAAATCAGCCTCGAAGGGGATGAAATGTGCACCCCCCTTTTAAGGATGATTCCTGGATAGTTCCGAGTCCCGGATAAGATTATAGGACAGTTTTTATCCCAGAAATCATCCCTTTTCATCCCCTTTAAGGATGATTTCTGGATAGTTCCGAATCCCGGAAAAGGATATAGGACAGTTTTTATCACAGAAATCATTCCTTTTCATCCCCTTTAAGGATGTTTGTATTGGTAACCAGTTTTTTCACACAAGACAAATTCGCGTACACCTAGTATAAAATAAAACATACTTGGAAAAGGATATAGGATAGTTTTATCCCAGAAAACATCCCTTTTCATCCCCTTTAAGAAAGTTTTTATTGGTAACCAGTTTTTTCACACAAGTCGCGTACACCTGGTATAAGATAAAATATACTATATATTATAATAACTTACCTGTTCCTGTGTCAGTATGACGGCCTGGCCAGGTTTTCTAGGGCAAGGGCTGGCTTCTGGAGTCTCCACTGGTGAGAACCAGTTCACTGTGGACTCTCCCCATGTGGACTGTGGAGCCCTTTGGCCAGATATGAGGGGAGTTCGCTCCGTGGCTCCTTGAACTATAGGGATTGAGAAACTTTAGTTAAATATTTATTTTCGTACGTGTGGAGTTAGTTAGAAATAAAGGTTCACTTACACTTCAACGATATTAAATATCCTAGATACACAAATTCGTGGGCCGAAACGTGTCCAAAAGGTACATTGGACGATCCACGGTAAGATGATTGCGTGGTCAAAAACAATATAAGGCATTATTTAAATATTGAAAGTCACCTTTAATGCATACTGTAGAAGGTTTTAATTAAAACGCATGCGTCAAAAAGTTATGACAGTTCGAAATGCAAGCTCGTAAAATTTTACGACTTATTGCTGTATGCGGAAGAATATAGACCTTATTTCTTTGATTCTACGCGCAATTCTGAATGTGCAGTTAGCAATATAGCAGGTACGGCCCGCGAGGAAAAGAGACGGCTATACTCGTATTACCGACCATGCATTTAAATATTTATTTCTTCTGCTTCTTCTTGCTACGGGCGTTTCCGCAACTCCGCGTCCTTATGGCGCCTGTTTTGCATGACAAATTAATATTTATTTATTTAATCCTTTATGCGTTTACATTGCATATGGCGGACTTAATACCAGCATGGCATTCTTTATCAGTCAACCGGAAAGAACGTGCAGAGTCAATAAAACGGCAGATAATCATAGAAAAGATCAAACTAAAAATCACAAATATTTTATATTAAATCAGTTTAAAGTAAGTATTAGATCAAGATTTGCTTCAAATGCGTTAAATTAACAAACATTGATTAGATACCTGTCGAAAAAACGACACTTTACGTAGTATAGATATTTTGCGGCATCTTGATTTTTCAACGGTCTGCGCATGACTGTGAACCAAGAAGTGCTTGAGTGGAGTTCAAGCACTTCTTGATTGGGACACATTTTGAGCGCTCGTGGTGTATATAAATACCCTAAGTATTTAATATCGTTGAAGGTCTTCTGTAAGGTAACTGCCCCAAGACGGGCGCTCCAATACGAGCATAAAATCCGCTTTGCCCAACTTCTCTTCATATAAATATAACTAGCGGCCCGCCCTCGCTTCGCTTCGGTGTAGACTACAGTTTTAGTTCTCAGGCTTGTATTATACACAATGACATTCATCTATGATTCTTCTTATACCTGCATGCAAAGACTCGGCCCGATCGGCTTAAAATTGACAAAGTTTCATACAAACTTTCATTCCCTATTTTATCCCCTTGGGGGTAGAATTGTTCAAAATCCTTTCTTAGCGGATGCCCACGTCATAACATCTACCTGCATGCCAAATGTCAGCCCGATCCGTCCAGTGGTTTGGGCTGTGCGTTGATAGTTAGTCAGTCACCTTTGAGTTATATATATATATATATATATAGACATTAAAAATCCTCACCTACAGAATCCAATATTTGCCTCGCCTGCAGCTCCTGTGGTAGAACCCTGAAGTCCAGGAACCAGGCTTCTCCCCAGGCCAGCGTGAACGAAGTCACTATTAGGAATACTTGGTATACTGGCTGCGATGCCGCCGGCCACTGTGAGGGAAAATAGCCTTAATGTATGTGGCTTAAGAGTCATATTTGTGTAAAGAAGCTGAATTATAAAAACTTTTGGAGTGGTTAAAAGTATTAATTATTGATGATTGATGAGGAAGAGCTCGATGGCGCAAGTGGTTAGCGCGTTCAGCTGCGATCGTTGAAGTTAAGCAACTTTCGCAGTGGTCGGTCATTGGAAGGGTGACCAGAAATTTACAATCTCAAGCTCCTTCGTGCTTCGGAAGGCACGTTAGGTCCCGGCTGCATCTGTAGTCGTTAGCACCCGTCAATCCGCACTGGGCCCGCGTGGTGGATCATGGCCCAAACTCCCCCTTCCTGGCCTGTGCCCCATCAGTGGGGACATTAATAGGCTGATGATGATGATTAATGATTTATACAGACTTCAATGTGAATAAAGTAACGGCGATATTAGTATGAAATAGACAGTTTATAATGCGAGGCGAAAAGGCGTTAATATGAATACTTAATGATCATATCTGTGTCAACTAGCTAGTGAATAAAACGCTTTAATGTGTGTGTTTTAAGAGTCATATTTATGTGAACTACCTACTTCATACACAATTATAATGTAGCGGCCTCTGCGAAGGAAAATGGGCTTTCATATCAATTCAGTAAGGGTTATATTTATGTGAATTAGACAGTCTATATATTTATGTTTTTATTTTGTTTTAAGCATTTAACTGCTAGATGTTTAAATCTAAAGAAAAGTTTACTAGAAAAAAAAACCACGCGGACCAGGCAGCGGACGGGACTCCAACCCGCACCCTTCGCAATCCGGGCGAATGCACTGACCAATTATGCATCCACGGCTCTGATGGCCGCGTCGAAATTTTCCTAGCCTTAAGCTGCAAGGCAACGCAATCTCTTCGCATTGTAGGTAACCCACAATGTCAAATGAATACTTTTTCAAGTATTAAACATTTGAAAGAAGAAATAGCAATTATAGTTATGTTTTTATTTTGTTTTAAGCATTTAACTGCTAGATGTTTAAATCTAAAGAAAAGTTTTACTAGAAAAAAATCCACGCGGACCAGGCAGCGGACGGGACTCGAACCCGCACCCTTCGCAATCCGGGCGAATGCACTGACCATTATGCTACCACGGCTATATATTGCTTATAGATGACTGATTGACGTTTATATAGGCGTTAGAACCAAACTTCGCCCCATGCTAGGGTAGTTTAATTTTATTGAAATATATAAATCTAGCAGCTCAATGCTTAAAACAACACAACTCTGCGTGAAACAGCAAGTTTATAATGCGTGGGAAAACAGACGTTAATATATATGCCATAAGTGTTATTTCTGTGTGATCTAGCTAGTTTAAAAAGCACTTTTTGATTGGTTATGGTTTGTCAATTATTTATGCGTTTTTAATAGCTGCGACGCTACTGGCAACTGCGAGGGAAAATAGGCGTTAATATATATATCTTACGGGTCATATCTGAGTGCAGTGGCTAATTTATTATGCACGGGAATATAGGCCTTAATGTGAACTTTGTAAGGGTGATCTGTGTGAATTAGTAGTACTAAGTTCATAAAACACTTTACATGGTATGGATCTAATATAATAGTAGATTTTAATATATATGTCGGCGGATGGCGTCTCACTCGCTCCTTCGAAACGTTAAACCGACAACAAATGTCATCAGTCAAGAGTACCATTGCCTTGTGAAACGTCAAGCAATGACGGTGACAGCTGTCATCACTTGGGAGCGGTCTATGCTAAGGGTAGTATTTAAGGGGCTATGCGTCATTGGAAAGGGCATTTTCCGCGCGCAGCAACACGTCACACTACGAACCATTACCAATGCGGGCCGCTATGTCAGAAACGCCACCCTACATCGCGACTTAAAAACAGAGCCGCTGGACGAATTTATCGAACGTTTAGCCCGCGAAATGTATAGAAGAGCAGACGCCTCGACACACGAGCACCTACGAGGCATCGCGCCTGTCTACGAGCGAACCTATACACGCCGCGACAGGGCTCTCCCACGAGAGATAGCCCCACCAGACACGACGCCATCAAACTCCCGCCCGCGACCAACGCAGGCGGTCGAGCAACCGGACTGACGACGGCCCCGCTCGCACACAGCGAGCGGGCCACCCACATGACACACGCACACACCTAGATGGGGTTAAAAAAAAAAATATATATACAACAAAAAAAAAAAAATTGAATTAAACCAAAAAAAAAAAAAATATATAAAAACAATCAAAAACAAAATAACAAAAAAAAAAAAAATAATAATCAAAAAAAAAAAATAATAAAACCCAACCTAGACACACACACACGCATCCTATAAAAAAAAAAAAAGAAACGCAACCAACACCCAACACGATCATCCAGCCCCCCCCCCCCACCTCTCACCAAGTCCACCGCCTGCTCGCTGGTCGTTCACCGGGCCTCCCACATGGGTCTCACCCGGTGGGCTAGACCGCGCCGAGGGCGGTGGTGAAGACGGAGGGGGAGAGTGGAACCCCAAGACCACTCTGCATTAGGCAGAGCGCGCAACCGACACGTCCAAAAAGACGAAAAGTCTAAGGATTCCCCGCACGCCGCGGCGCCTCCGGCGCCGGCGACGCGCGAGACGACGATTCAGAGGAAAGGGCATTCGGCATTCAGACGTGAGCCGCGATAGTGAACGGACGTTAGCACAGAACTGTCCGCGCTTCACAAAGCAATCCGTTTGTACCTTGGCAATCATAACTGATTTTGTAAAGTAATAAGAAGATTCAAATTAAACGTTAGCTTGGTCACTAGACTACAGTTTTATTTTCGGGAAATATCATTGAATAACCAAGATGGCGGATCAAGAAAAACCACGTGGCCAACCGCCTATATTACCGCTCGGCCCACTCCGACATTTATATATATATATATATATATATATAAATTATAAATAATGTTAATGTGTAGATAAGTATCATACTTACGTCGAACACGAATACTTTTGCTATTAAGAAGGCACACGTTCCTGCTGTTGTGATCTAGAACAAACAAGACTATAGTCTAACTAAATATGGCAAAAAGAATATAAATAATCAACTAAACACAAACATATTTAATACCGCACGTTTGAGTACACTTTTAAGCGAAGCTAAAAAGTGACGTCACGAGCCCCCACTCCCAAACTTTGACGCGCTATAACTTTGTCATTTTTTGGTTGATTGCCCAAAGAAAAAATACGTGACCATTATTTTTTGATCATCTAACTGACGGACTAAATAGAATTTCGTTTACTGCACCCCGTCATTACCCCTATTGGCACTTTTTAATACTGTCAAATACCCTATTGTCGCGTGCGGCGCTCGTAGCGTTTCAGCCTTCGCCGAGTTACCCTCCAAATTTAGTCGGGAAGAGCTGCGCACGCATCTCACACACACACACACACACACATTTATATCTACATAGTCGTGTGACGCTCATGACGCATTTCCGTTTTATGTTTTCCATAGGAATTTTTCTATTTACACCCTGGCCGAAACGAATTTTCACTTCAAAAAAAAATACTTGATTAAAATTTACTTATAACAATATATCTCTTTTTCATTTAAAAGAAATGCATATATTAATTGACAATATGCTGATGACAATAATAAATAAATATTTCCAACACTCACTCCAATTAGTCCAGCCCCAAAGTAAACACTGTGAGGTTTGTGTTATGGGATGCTAGGGTAACGGATAGAATACATATACTGTACATATCTTTATATATATAATTCTTCTGTGAGTGTGTATGTCACTGAACTTCTCTTAAACGACTGGACCGATTTTGATGAAATTTTTTGTGTGTGTTCAAGGGGATCTGAGAATGGTTTAGATTCACAATTTTGTCAGCTGGACAATGTTTTTTTAATTAATTTTTAATTTATTAGTAGTTGTTGATTTTGGAATGTTTTACATTGGATCCGACAGACGGCGCTACCATACTAGACAGGACAACGTCTGTCGGGTCCGCTAGTATAAGTATATTTATATAGAAATACATATTAAACATCCATGACTGGAGTACAAATGCTCGTATTCATCACACAAACATCTGCCCCCACCGGGATTCGAACCCGGGACCTCTCGAGTAGGCGACATCGACACCATGAAACCAGGCGTACAAACCACTCGACCACGGAGGTCGTCACAATGATAATATAAAAAGCCATACTCACAGCAATTACACTCCAATTGTTGATATACAATAAGGCGTAGAACAGCAGTAACAGTATGAACCTACTGACTGCCACCATAACTACGTCAAATAGTGACGTTTTCACGTCGTAGTGCACTATTTCGCGATCGAATATCTGTTTTAGTGTCTCGCCTCTCATCTGAAAAGAGAACAAAATCAAATTATAAAAAAAACTAGCGAGCCTTACAGTAGTCGCGTATGATGTGTAACATTTGAAACCTCATCTTATAATAGTAAAAAAAGAAATAAAACCTACTAAAAAAGGAATAAGCCATTTGAACATTATGTTTGTTTTTTATAGATAGGTCCAACAAATGACTCCACCCCACCTGATGTTAAGTGAAGGTGAAGTCCAGACGCGAAGATAGCTGATACAGCAGTTCTACCTGCCACACCAGCTTGCTTCTTCACGCCTCTTTTAAAGGATCCCAGGTTGTGAGAGGGAGGGAACACATAAGCGGGCAGAGCATTCCATTTACGGATAGTGCGACAAAGAAATGTTCTAAAATCAAATCAAATAGCGCGCGCTTTCGCGACTTCCTGTTACACACTTCCGTCCCATTTCACGAAATCACTCCCACAAATTGTAGGAAAGCGAAAGGAAAGATGTTACACATAAAGAAATCTATGTGATAACGTCTTATAAATCGAAGAACACCGGCTGCACGCACGAAAAAGTGTCACGTTCCGCCTGAGTCTGAGCGTGCAAGCGAGAGCGCGGGACAAGCGATAGAGAGCCACGATCGGCCCAAGCTTCGGCTTTTACACATCTAATCTCTTCTCGCGGGACGTCAGAGCTAGCAATTATAAAAGTTTTCATCATTGTTTCTTTATGACGTTATCACTTAAAACTATCGTCCGTAAACCGACTATACAGACAACCATTTTTTTTTATGTAAATGCTCTAAAAAGTAAATAATTAAACGCGGACGTAAGTTTATTTAAAGAGCTCGATGGCGCAAGTGGTTAGCGCGTTCGGCTGCGATCGATGAAGTTAAGCAACTTTCGCAGTGGTCGGTCATTGGATGAATGACCAAAAGTCTTCTATCTCGAGATCCTCCGTGCTTCGGAAGGCACGTTAAGTCATTGGTCCTGGCTGCATCTGCAGACGTTAGCACCCACTAATCCGCACTGGGCCCACATGGTGGGTCTTGGCCCAATCTCCCTATTTCATCCATAGGGAAGGCCTGTGCCCCAGCAGTGGGGACATTAATAGGCTGATAATGTGATGTGTGTGATGTAAGTTTATTTGTATTTTTTTCTAAGCAAAACCCTTTCATTTAATACCCATATCATGGGAGTGCATAAAAATTACTAGCCCACCATTTTCAGCCGTCCGCCATATTGGATTTAGAAAGAGGTCACTTAGATCATGCACTGCTATCCAAACAGGTGCAGGTTCGAATCCTAACCGATGTCTAAACCGAGTGGAATTTTCTCTAGCAAATTTTTCTTCAGATCTACAAATCTAGCGATTAAAATCTCGGCTGGGATTTGAACCCGGACCGCCCGTAGGAGGCGAGCTTTCTGCCACTCAACCACCGATGCTTATTGATATGTTCCGAATTTGTTTATAACAATGAGGATCGTTACTAGGTTAGCAAATCAACTCAAAATCAGTATAATAATCTAATAAGCTTTAAATTATTATACTTTTTAAATCATCGAAATCGGTTCATTCGTTGCGATTTTATAACTAATTTTATGGTAGCCATTATTCACCGGCGGCCGGAACGTGTGACGTCACAGATCTCGATCGTGGTTCACTCCGGTCGAACTTTAGTTTTTTTTTTTTTTTTATATTACTAGGTAGGCAAATGACTCTACCCCACCTGATGTTAAGTGGTGATAAAGTCCAAACGCGAAGCGTCTCTACGCACTCTCGCGCCCGAGCGCTAGAGCTCTGTGACGTCAGTCACGGCCTGCCGAAAATTCGTTTAGTAATGGTCATAACTTCGTCAATATTTGTCGTAGAACAAAAATTTTAACACTGTATTTTATGGAATCCTTAGCTCTATAAATCTGCATTCTCGACTAAATCGTTCCGTAATGAATAAAAATGTAATGCGACGTAATAATGATTAAAGGAAAATTATAGTAAAAAGTTTCACTTTAAATATGCTTACCATAACGCATATGAGCCACATCAGACTCGTGAACAGTATGTCGAATGTGACAAACAGACAGAAGAACCGACGCACAGTAGACATCTTGCCTTGTGGCCTGTGCCCAGCCACTAAGTCTTCAGAGTAAAGGTTCACTGAATGCGACTGCGAGTGAGCTGCAAGAAAAATAAAATAAATTTAACGGACTGACGGCCTTCTCTATTAGATTAAAACAAAAAGGAAAGATACGGTACGCTCATACTAGCATCAAATAAAATATGTATAATCCTACTCAATTACATAAGTAACTCTCACACAAGCATACGTCTGTAAATAAACATTCAATCGAGCGAGCGAGACGGAACTGTACGCTTCAACGCAGCGTGAGCGAAACGGCGAGTCCACTTCCGAGTCCGCACGGCAGAGTTGTATTGTTGTCCTTTTCTTGATAACAAAATGGCGATTACGTAAATAACATTCAAGATTTTTGAGAAAAAAACTATTTTTACATACATACATACAACAAAACAAAACAAAAATAACTTGGTTTTAATTTTTTTTATTACGCTTAGGACTGAATCGGATAATTGTCGATTGGGTTAATCGGTGTTCTACTGTAATAGTATACGCAACATTGTTATATTGAGTGCACATGCAGCGTGTTTTAACATTGTACAATTCTGTCTAAAGCGAATTGTGTTCATGCACCACAATTTAAGCGAATCACTTTTGAGTATCTTTATCACTATCACTTATCTTCCCTTTTTGTTTTAATCTAAGCTTCTGTTGAACAGAAGAACCATTATATATCTTATTATGCACGTTTCTTAATAAAATCACTCGTGCAGCGAGAGCAACGCTTATAACTTATAACAAAAAGAAATGCAATGTCTTATCGAGTCGTCAATGCTTGCTCATATACTCAGATCCGCGATTGGGTACAAACCATTCTTTATAAATAAAATTTTATATTTATCTGTTTGGTGATATTTATCTGATATTAAATGAAAGAATACGGTTCAATTTTGTATGAAGGCTGGTAGTCAGTGTCCGGCAGACTCCAACTGTTTATTTATGAGTTGTAGTGAACTTAATTGTAAATCGCTTGCCAAAAAAGATGAATTTATTTTGACCCCCTTTTTTTTAAAATAATTATTATAATGAAGCTCGATGGCGTGAGTGGTTAGCGCGTTCGGTTTTCGGTGCGATCGTTGAAGTTAAGCAACTTTCGCAGTGGTCGGTCATTGGATGGGTGATCAAAAATCTTCTATCTCGAGTTCCTCCGTGCTTCGGAAGGCACGTTAAGCCGTTGGTCCCGGCTGCATCTGCAGTCGTTAGCATCCGCCAATCAGCACTGGGCCCGCATGGTGGGTCATGGCCAGATCTCCCGATTTCATCCATAGGGAAGGCCTGTGCCCCACATGTGGACATTCATAGGCTGATGATGATGATGAAAATTATATAATTATTGATTGATAAATGGCAAGTTTACTCAATATATTCCATTCAATAGGTAAGTTAAGCATATGATAATTATTCTGTTCATCATTCTATAAATTATAAGATATGTTGTGGGTATTTTATTTAAAGAAGAATCAATCATAAATTGGTATAATAAGTTCACCACGATTTCACGAATTACGTGCATGAGGGGACTGATTGACATTTGCTATAGTGATTGAGTTGACTTTATAAGCTGCCACCAACGGTATTAAATACCCTAGTTACACCAGCACGAACAAAATCATGCCCGAAACCTGTCCAAAAGGTACATTGGACGATCAACGGAGCTCTGTAAGATGATCATGTAGTCTAAACAATATAAGGCATTATTTAAACATTGAAAAAAACCTTTAAAGCACACTATATAAGGTCTTAATAAAAGCGCATGCGTCAAAGAGTTATGACAGTCCGAGATGTAAGCTAGTAAAATTTTACGACTTATTGCTATATGCGGAAGATAGACCTTATTTCTTTGACTCTACGCGCAATTCTGAATGCGCTGATAGCAATACAGCAGGTACGGACCGCGAGGAAAGAGACGGCTATATTACCGACCATGCATTTAAATATCACAAATATTTTCTATTAAAACCAGTTTATAGTAAGTATTAAAACAAAATTTGCTTCTAATGCGTTAAATTAACAAACATTGATGAGATATCTATCGAAAAACGACATTTTACATACTATAAGTATTAATTTCGCATTTTTTCACGGAGCTCAGCGGTATGTTGACTTTTCAACGGTCCGTGTGTGACTGTGAACCAAGAAGTGCTTGAGTGGTGTTCAAGCACTTCCTGATTGGGACACAATTTGAGCGCACGTGGTGTATCTAGGGTATTTTAATATCAACTATATTGCTGCCACACATTAAAACTATGACGTTATTTATGACAGGGTATCCAGCATCCGTACAATATTATTCAATTTTAAACACAATTTAAAATAAATTCGAGATAAATAAGAAATTAAAAGTATCTCTTCGTGTTATAATATAAAACGAGCTTTCGAAAAATATATGTTTCGTCACTGCCGCAAACTGACTACCACTTTTGAACCATCTTCTTTAATCTTATATCTTCTTTGTTTGAAGTTTTTAAAGTTACCAAATATCAGGGGCGGATCTTGAATTTGTGGGGCCCTGGGCTAATACTGCTTAGGGGCCCTACTTAATTACTCAACTAATTGCCATTTTGACAAGAAACTGTTTTCTGTAGTGATGTAGGTATATGTAATGTAATATATGTTAAGTACAGGAAGAAAATAGGAGAACAAAACATTTTATTTATTTATTCAAACATTATTTATTGCAAAATAAATTGACAGGTTATAAATGGTTATGTTATCATCATCATCATCATCAGCCTATTAATGTCCCCACTGCTGGGGCACAGGCCTTCCCTATGGATGGAATAGGGAGATTGGGCCATGACCCACCACGCGGGCCCAGTGCGGATTGGTGGGTGGTAACGACTGCAAATGCAGCCGGGACCAACGGCTTAACGTGCCTTCCGAAGCACGGAGGAGCTCGAGATAGTAAATTTTTGGTCACCCATCCAATGACCGACCACTGCGAAAGTTGCTTAACTCCAACGATCGCAGCCGAACGCGCTAGCCACCTGCGCCATCGAGCTCCTCGTTGGTGGTTATGTTATATAACTTATAAAGCAACCTTTTCGCATTTTTGTGCTGCAAATTCTTTTATTTGGTCATCGCACTGTAGGTCCTTTGTTAAATCGCAATTTATCAAAAGAACTGATAAATGATTTAGTCGATAGTTCGACATTGTTGTCCTGTATTTGTTTTCTATATACGACATCCTGGAGAAAGAACGCTCGGCTTCACAGATAGTGATCGGCATCGTTAAAAAAATCTTTAAGATGGTATAGCAGTTTGGCACATCAACAAGTTTCTTTTCATAAATTAACCAAAAAATTTCACTGCAAGAGGTGTAAGACTCTGCCTTAGACTGCAGTAAATAAGATTTCAACTGAATGCACTAAATGTTCGTCTACGTCATTTGTATAATAATCAATAATATTACGTACACTTTCCAGATCTATGTGTTCTTGATTTTTGTCTTGCAAATCCATTAAAAATTTAACTTTTTGCTATAGGTCTCATAGGCTTGACTTCTTTTATTTAAATCCATGATCATCTTAACCAACGCAACGTTATGCGTGTCTCTTTTAACTTTTTCTGCGCCGTTTACTGAGACTTTATCTGTTGATTTATCTGAAAATTTTGAAGTAATGCGTCTCTTATTTATGCCACTGTAGTCTGTTCCTACACTAGTACTTAATTTTTTAGCTTTCTCTTCGTATTCCTTTAGCTTCTGATCTGATTGTTGCCTTGTGTTTTCACGAACTCTTTTAATGACACAATTAACTTATTGCCTTCACCAATGTCTAAACCAGGGCTCTGTACTTTTTTATTAACTACATTAAATCTCTCCAAAACTTTTGTTTGTCAAAATGTTTTTTAAATCTTGCATATTTTCACCACTTGTTTTTTTGGTTTTGCGATTTTTTGCTTCCTTCGGTTAGATTATCTTCTCTTAAAATACCTTCCTTTACTTTTTTTAATGGATTTATAGCTATTTCATTCACGTTTATATCTTCTGATTTAAGAAAAAATATTTTTTGCGCATTTATGTCTTTCTTTTTCTCGACCAAACTGTAATTTTCTTTTTTCAGCTCCACTTTTATATTTTCTAGAAGACATATTGTAAAATTAGATATTTTCCTGAAAATAAACAAAGAACTGGATAGAACTTTTAATTTTACCTACTTTGTAATGAGTGTAACAATTCACAAATTATCATTAAATATCGAACGAGTTCGATTCCTTTAGTTTTGAAAACTGAAATAAAAATAAAAAAGTCATGTTTTATAATTCTTTTTACTTACCTACTGCTTTTTAAAGCACGAAGTCTAGTTATGCTGAATACTTTCAATTTTAGTAAATTTAAAGAAAGGTCCGGTCCTTATAACATTTAAGTTACCTATCACTTAGTAAACTAAACTTAACACATTTCTAACAATAACAAAGTTAATCCGTTAATATAGTCGACGATAGCAGAAGGGGGGAAAAATAACAAAATTGCGTCGGGCGATAAGCGGAGGGTAGTCCCCAATAATAAACAGTACAAGGAATACACCGACCGAAAACAAGCGACAGGGAATTCCCCGTTCCGTTTACAGCCTTATGATCGGATTTTTTATTTTACTAGATAATTTTTATTATTGACAATATCGTCTATTGGTTTCAGTTCGGTTCGGGGCCCTCTTTATTGGGGGGGCTCTGGGCTGCAGCCCAAAAAGCCTTTAAGTAGATCCGCCCCTGCCAAATATGGAGGTAATGAATTTTATTAAAGACTAGCAAACCCAGCGAACTCCGTTTCGCCACCAGATGGCTTCTTTTTATGTAACATTTCGTTTGGTGATTAGAAGATTTTTTTTTATATTTTTTCTGAATTTTCTTTGCTATAAACCCCACGGAGCCCGAGACCTTTCCAACAAATGCAAAACCGTGGAAATCGGTTCGTGCGTTCTGGAGTTATAGCGTCAGGAAGGAAAACCCGACTTATTTTTATATAGTAGATTTCGTTTGGTGATTAGAAGTTGTTTTTTTATAATTTTTCTGAATTTTCTTTGCTATAAACCCCACGGAG